GTTTTGTACTCGTACCAGCTCACACAAGGATTTTAATCATGATCCACTACAAACATACACTAATAAAACCAAAAAGAGCAGAAAAAGATTTCAAGGGTATAGTTTGTAATCTTAGATGACAGTTCAACACGTTTTTAACTATTGGGCATCTTAGAGCTTTCCGGAGCTGACTTCCACGGTTAGTGCTGTAGTACTGACAGTAAGCTGAATTCTCACGTTTATTACTCTCTTCTTCCCCCCAGACTCTTGCACTAAAGCTCTGTGGAACACGTGTGACATGGCTGGCCTACTGGAGAATTTTCTGTTTCAGTCTTGCGGACCGTGCTTTGTTTTCTCTTTCTTTTCTTTAGCTGTGCACGTTCACAACCCTCGCTGTTTACGGTCATCTTGGGGCACTGGCTTGTGCACATAGTGCAGTGTGTTCTTCAGTCCTCCGCCCGTCTCCTCTAGTTCTCTTCCCCCTTTGCATTCCTGTTGACATTGTTCGTCGTAGCTCATGTTTGTGGTACGTCATGGCCACGTTCGCTGAGGCTGTTGGGACCCCGCACCCGGCCACCTTCGCTTTGCCCATTTCCCCACCTCCTCGTCTTCATCCCTCACCCCTGGTTCCCCGGACGCTCCCGCCTGCAAGAAATCCATCCCCTTGTCTCTTCTGTCCTTCTTTCATTTTCTTAGTTCATACTTTGTCTTACTCAGATGAGAGATATCATGTGGTATTTAACCTTTCGGGTCTGATTGATGTCACTCAGCATTATATTTCCCAGGTGCATCCATTTTTCTACTGATGTTTCAAAATTGTCCTTCTTTATAGCCAAGTAGTATTCTGCTACACACGGCTACCACATTTTCTTTACCCAGTCATCTGTGGATGGAGGTGTAGGCTGCTTCCAGGATTTAGCTAGTACGAACTGTACTGCTGTAAACACTAGTGTGCATGCATCACTGTCATATGATGTCTGAAGCTCCTGGGGAAGATTCCTAGAAGGAGCGTGACTGGGTCATATGGGGTTTCTTTTCTCTCATTGAGTTTATTGGTGCATTTTAGGTGTACAGTGCAGTTACATTCATCATTGGGATCTTGTACCTTTACATGACAGGTCTTGGCTCACATTTTTCCCCCTTGTTCCTGCCCTCCCTTCACCCCCTCCTCCCTTCCCTATTTACAAATGCTTTATTTCCTTTTTTTTCATTTTCTCATTTTTTTCCTTTTCCCTTATTAACTTTCCCCTACCCTTCCCATTTCCCCTACACCTTCAGCCCTTTTCTTCCTATTTCACATTGTCCATTATCTTATTAGGATCTTATGTACCATTATAGTTTTTCACAGCGGAGAAACTATTTGGTATTTATACATGTGTGACTTATTTATTTCACTTAGGAGCATATCCTCGATATGTATCCATTTTCTATGAATGAGTCTAATTTCTCATTCTTTATGGCTGAGTAGTATCCCATTGTATAGAAAAACCACATCTCCTTTATCCAGTCTCCAATTGATGGGCAAATGGGCTGTTTCCAAGTTTTCTAATTTCAGTTGTTTGACGAATCTTCATACGGTTTCCACAGTGATTGTACTAGTTTACGTTCCCACCAACAATGCAGGAAGGTTTCACTTTCACCACAGTCCTGCCAGAATTAGTTATTTCTAATTTTCTTGACAATTCCATTCTTCGAGGTGTAAGATGAAATCTTAGCATTGTTTTAAGTTATACCTCTTTAGTGGCCAGAGATGTTGACTATTTTTTATGTTTGTTGGCCATTTGTACGTCTTCCTGTGGGACTGTCTGTTCATTTTACGTGCTCATTTCTTGGCTGAGTCTTTCCCTGGCCCCTCCAGTAATAAAAGGTATGCAGTGAAGAACTCTCTCTTTGGTTCCTAACTCAGCCGTGCTCACCCTGCCGGATGAGCAGCCTGGGGCTGCTGCAGGGGAGCAGGGCAGGCCTTGCTGGGAGCGCGGTGCGGGAGCTGTGCTGCAGCAGCGCCACCGAGCCGGAGTCACGTGGGCGGGGCAGAGGCTTCCGTGTTTTTTTTTAATAGAACATTTCATCTACTTCTGTCACGAGTGATTTCATGGCACTTGCTACTTCTTCAAATTCATTTTCAAAACGTCTGTCATTACCTCGAACGGAGGCGGGACTCACGAACAGGACGACGGCGCACGGCCGCAGCGGCGGGGTGTGCCGCACCTGCGCCCTTGTTCTCCCGTCAGTGCGTCAGAGGTTAAGGAGGAGCAAACCTGCAGGAGAAAACCTTCCGTACCTTCGTTTAGCTGAGAATTGTTAGGATTGGTGTCTCGATGTATAGGCGAAGTGGAGGTTCATGTTTCAAAACATTTTATTATGTAATCGTGTATATATATTAATGAACGTAACGTATCTGTAAGTACCCAGGCATAGTAATGAATGAAATTTAAACATTCTAATTCCTCATAGAGGCAATACGACATCCCCCTCAGGTGCAAGAGTGGTTTTTCTAAATTCCCTCTTTCTGTCACCTCCCCAGTCAGAGATTAAAAAACAGCCTGGTTTGTGTTTATTATTCCTGTTCTGAAAAACATAACATTTAAAAAACCGACTACATATGTTTCATAGGAAAACTAAAAATGTTTTATTTTTAGCTTTATAAAATTGTCTTTAATTAGCTTTTCCCCCATACAGTCACATTTGTAAAATTCATCCAGGTTGTACATGAAGTTGTAGCTGTTTTATTTTCACTGCTCTATACCATTCCAATATTTTGTTTGTGCCATAAATTATTCTTCTGTCCAGCCTGTGTACACTTGGGCTTCCTTTTACTTTTTGTTCTTATGAATACTGTGCACATTTTCACACTATGTGTTGTGACACAAATTCTAAAGAATTTCTCTCAGATAGTGTGAATCCCTTGGAATGAAAAGTATGCACACACTTGTATTAAAAAAGAATTCCCATGTTATTTCGAACTTTGCACCAGGAGTGAATAAGAATTGCTGTCGTTTTACATTCTTGTGAACACTTAATTTTTTATGTTTAAAAGTTTCATCAGTTGCATGGGTTTAAATGCTATATTATTGAAGTTGTATTTATGTTAAAATTTCTGTTGAGTTGAATGTATTTTATGTGCTTATCAGGCATTTGTTAAATGCCTATTTGTGACCTTTGTTCATTTTTCATTTGGAGTAATTACATTCTTGTTTTTGAATTTTAAAATCCCTTTTTGTATTCCAGATATCACTGGTCATCTGTATATTTAGCTTTGTACTCCTTTTATCGTGTTTTGCTGAAAAGACCTTAACATTTACTTTTATTTATCATTTTTGCGCAGCTTCCTGGCTGAGTTGAGCAGCCTTCCTCCGCCAGTCCCTGCCACCAAGCCTTTGCCCTTGGAGGCAGCGGCTGTGGCCTAACCGTGAGCCAAAAGAAACCTCTGCTCCTCTCAGGTGTGAGAGTTAGGGGTATTGCCCAGTGATGGGAAAGTGAGTTTATTACGATATGTCTGTTCCAATTATAGTGCTTTTGGGGGTTTCTTACCTTCATACACCTCACATAGTACTTCTGGTGCTATACTAAACACAAGCAATAATAGTACTTCTAAATGTTTCCAATATTTAATCATTAAAATAATTTGAGTTTTGAAAGTTAATCTTTTGCTAGGTGAAGGTACTCTTATTCTGTTCTTAGCTTGATGAGAGTTTTCATCTAGAATGGAAGCCAGATTTTATGAAATTCATTTTCTGCGTCTCTTGAGATGATTCTAGATTTTCTTCCCTTTAACCAATTATTACTGGTAGGCTTGCTAGATTTAATTTGCTGATATTCTAACTATTTTATTCTGGGCCTTTTAAATTAATGTTTATGAATGACTTCAGAAAGAAAATTTCTTGTGTTTTCCTTGCCTGTTTTTTGCTGTTGTTCATGTTTTTGTTTTGTTTGTGTCTTTTGGTACCAAGGTATACTAGCCAATAAGAATAAGATGAGATATATTTTCTCTTTCCTTCTTTTCTGGAAGAGTTTGTATGCAGTTGGAACGATCCATTTCTTGAAAGTTTTGTAGAATTTCCATGTAACTTTCCTAAATGTTTCTTAGTATCTAATGTTTTCTTTCAAGTGTTATATGATTCTTTTAGTAGAACTTAAAAAATAAAACTATTTAGACTTTCTATTTCCTTTGAAGTTGTTTTTGTTAGGTTTTTAAGGTGTGGGATTTAATCATTTTATTTTAGCTTTAACATTTTTAGCAGTTCTTTATGTTTTTATTCTGTTCTCTATCTGTGCTGTCTTTTATTTGTAATACTTTTGATACTGGTAATTTTAGTGGCTTTTTACTTCTTTAAGTATGTCTGCCAGAAGTTTACTAATTTTGTCTTTTAAAATATCCACCATTTAGGTTTATGTTTCCTTCTTAAATTTTTGCATCTTTCCTATAAAATAAATTTGTACAGGGTCAAATTTTCTAAGTATATAACTTAAAAACTTAGTTTTCAAAAAAATGGTTGTCTTCTGCCTTTCCCCTGCTTCCTTTGTCCCGAAAAGCCCACTTTCATTTCTTTTACCTGATCATTTTGACATTTCCCACTAACACTCTGGAGAGGTGTGTTTCTACTGCTACTTCCTCATGTTTTTCAATTGCAGTAATTTAATTTTCAAAACTTCATATTGGTTCAACTCTCTTTTTCCCCTAGCACCATGTATATTTTTTCAAAATAATACAAATCCCATCCACAGCTTTCCTTTCTTTCTGTGATTATCCTATTAGTATTTGTTTTCCTTTTTAATAGACCCTGTGGTCAAGGACCTTATCTGCTTTGATTACCATGGAGTCTCTAGTTCTTAGAGCTGGATGGACGTTCAACTATTTAGTGAGTGAATAAACAAATGTGATAAGTGTTAAAAGGACAACTGCCAAGAGTGGAGGAGGTGGGAGGATTCTCTGGGGAATGTTTTGAAGGGGAGGAGGCAGAGCATTGGCAGTTATGCCAGTTTGTCTGTGACCAGGTACCAGTTAACTGATAAGGTGACTCTGCTTGGAAAGTCAGTGTGGGAACCTTTTTCCAAGTTTCATTTCTTTTTGTTTTGTTTCCTTTATGTTCATGACAGAGTCCAAAGACAGAAAGAACCAAAGTCAGGTAGGAGCAGCTCCCTTTTGCTCAGCCTTTTGGCTCCATTCAGGGCTTCAATTGACAAAACAATATGGAGGGAAGATGCCTTTACCCAGGCTCCTGACCAGATACTCAGCTCATCCACAGGCACCCTCAGACACACCCAGAGCACATCATGGTACGGTCACAGTGACACATAACTTCTTTTCCTCATTGAGTTTATTGGTACATTTTAGGTGTACAGTACAGTTACATTCATCATTGGGATCTTGTACCTTTACATGACAGGTCTTGGTTCTCATTTTTATCCCCTGTCCCTGCCCTCCCTTCACCCCCTCCTCTCCTCCCCATTTACAGACACTTTATTTCCATTTTTTCATTTTCTCCTATTCTTTTTTTCCTTTTCCCTTATTCCCTTTCCCCTACCCTTCCCACTTTCCCTAGACCTTTAGCCCCTTTCTTCCTATTTCACACTCTTAATTATCCCATTAGGATCTTGTGTACTATTATAGTTTTTCACACCAGAGAAACTATTTGGTATTTACATATATGTGACTTATTTATTTTACTTAAGAGTATATCCTCAATATGTGTCCATTTTCCCATGAATGAATCTAATTTGTCCTTCTTTATGGATGAGTAGTATTCCATTTTATAGAAAAACCACATCTTCTTTTTACAGTTTCCAACTGATGCACAAATAAATGGGCTGTTTCCTAGTTTTAGCTATTACAAATTGTGCCACTATAAACATAGGTACACATATATCTCTGTGATATGATTCTTTTAATTCTTTTGGAAAGATACCCAGCAGAGGGATGACTGGGTCAAATGGAACCTCTAGTCCCAGCTCTTTGAGGTATCTCCATATTGATTTCCATAGTAATTGCACCAGTCTGCACTCTCACCAACAATGGAGAAGGGTTCCTTTCTCCCCCCAACCCCATCAACATTTGTTTTTGTGTGATTTCTTTATATCAGCCATTCTTTGTGGGTTGAGGTGGAATCTCAGTTTTGTTTTCAACTGCATCTCTCGAATGACCAGTGATGTGGAACATTTTTTCATATGTTTACTTGCTGCTTTTACTTCTTTGTCTGAGAAATGTCTGTTCATTTCAGATGCCCATTTTTGAATCAGGTATTTATATTTGTTCTTTACATGTTCTACATAAGAGTGCTTTGTCTGAGGAGCAGCTGGTAAAAATTTTTTCCCACACTGTAGGTTGTCTCTTAGTTCTGTTGATGGCTTCTTTTGCAGTGCAGAAGCTTTTTAATAAGATGAGATCCCAGTTTCTGATTTTTTCTGTTAGTTCCCGTACTACTGAGCATTTGTTCATGAAGTCTTTTCCTATGCCAATGTCTTCAAGAGTTCTGCCTAATTTATCTTCCAGCAAGTTTAATGTTTCTGTTTTAATATTTAGATCTTTAATCCACTTGGATTTTAATTTAGTGCATGGTGAAAGATAGGGGTCCAGTTTTAATCTTTGGAAGGTTGAGATCCAGTTTTTCCAACACCATTTATTAAAGAGGCGATCTTTCCTCCAGTGGGGACTGGCAGCTCCTTTGTCAAAGATGAGGGAGCTGAGTGCATCTGGAGTTGTTTTTATGTCTTCCAATCTGTTCCACTGATCCTCAGGTCTGTTTCTTTGCCAGTACCATGCTGGTTTTATCACAGTGGCTTTGTAGTATAGTTTCAAATTGAGAATTGTTATATCTGTTGCCATGTCTCTGTTGCCTAGGATGGCTTTTGCTCTTCTAGGTCTCTTATGGTTCCAAATGAATTTTTGGATTCTTTTTTTAGGTATGTGAAATATAGTGTTGGAATTTAAATCGTCATCACATTGAATCTGTATAGCAGTTTTGGTTCTATGGCCATTTTCACTATGTTGATTCTTCCTACCCAGGAGCAGGGGATATCTTTCCATTTTCTTATCTCCTTTTTGATCTCTTTTTTCAGAGTGCTGTAGTTTTCAGTGTAGAGGTCTTTTGCTTCTTTTGTTAGATTGATTCCTAGATACTTCATTTTTTTGGATGCTATTGTGAAAGGAATTGTTTCCCTAATTTCTCATTCAGTGAGCCTGTTATTTGTGTACAAGAAAGCTATTGATTTTGGGGTGTTGACCTTGTATCCAGGTACTGTGCTAAAAGGTGACACATAAAATTAATCATTACACCACTCATGTTTTGAGTGAATATGTTTTAACAAATTCAATGAAACATGTAATTTCAAATATAACTGCCATACTATTTATTGATATATAAAAATTTTAAAAAATAAATGTTAGTTTTAGATTTACAGAAAAATTGCAAGGATAGTACTTAGAGTCCCCATACCCTACTCTTGGTTTTCCGTATTATCATTCTCCTATTACACTAATACAGTACACTTATTACAATTAATGTAGCATCCATGGTATTGTTTAAAAGTCAAAGTCATAATATGTTCAGGTTTTCTTAATTCTTACCCAGTGTTCTTTTTCTGTTCCATGATATCATCTCATCCCATTACATTTGGTAGTTGTATCTCTTTAGGTTCCTATTAACTAGGATGCCTTTTAGATTCCTCCCTCCCTCCCCCTTTTTTTTTTTTAACCTTGATGGTTTTTCAGAGAAGTGGTTAGGTAGTGCATAGCACTCCCTGTGTTAGAATTTTTGGCTAGTTTTCCCTTAGACTAGGGCTTTGGTATATGCAGTGGAAACCCACAGGAATAAACTGCCATTCTCAGCCTCCACAAAAGTTTAAATATGAGCAACACTTGCTCATGTGCTGATGCAGTGTCCATTTGTGTCCCCCCTGTAAAGCTCTTCTCTCTGTCCCTATCCCTTTCCGTGCTGGACATTTTGGAAGATTCACCATGTGGAACCTGTGCTTGAGGAACAGGGACTTGGGACCTCCTCCTTGATTAGTTAGTTAAGCATAGCCTTAATACAACGAAGGGGAGATGTATCTTTTCTTTTCTATGTATTATTTATTATGCAAAAATTTATTATATCATAATCCAATACCATTTTATTTCATTGCCCAGATTTGATTATCTTTTGTCATTTTAAGCTTGGCCATTGAAAGTTCTTCAAGCTATCTCCTGTGTCCTTTTTACAAGCCCCTATTAATGTAGGTTTTTAGTTTTTAAGTTAATTAACATATACTGAACATCTCCTCCACCTCTGGCATTATATGATGCTTCAGGCTTGTCTTCTATACTTTATGCCTCAGTCCCAACATCAGTCCTCTCCCAGAGAACCTCAGGGTCCCTTTATTGGGGCAGAAGTAAAAACCATGATTGTGCACTGGGTGTGTGGGTTCCTGTTAGAGTCTCGTTGCTTCTGAGCACTCTTGGTCAATAGCAATAAAGCATATGTGTGCATGCAAACCCATGTGTGTGCACATATCTATACATTTTGTATACATAACTCTTCATATTAAGTTAAATGTGAATCCAGTTCAAATCCATTATAAAATACATCTTTCTAGTCTCATCCTCTTGTTCATCTGTAGATACTCCACGTGTGAAATCTGAGTCTGACCATCCATCATCCTCTACTTTTTTAATTCTAGTAAACATGTAGCCTTCAGGAAAGTCTCTTCATGTATTTGTGATGTTAGATGACTTTGCATATGTGGCATTCCATCCTATTATTTTTAAGATTTGTGTATACACCCAGGCTCTTTGTTGAATCATAAAACTGTGGATTTTGATAAGTGCACTTTGATAAATGTAATTGCATCCATAATTGCAGCATCGTACAGAACATCCTCATTGCCCTGAAAGCCATCTATGTTTTGTGCAGCCAGTCCCTCCTCCGTGCTTCCCAAGCCTCAGGTGACCACTGACCTTTTCGCTTTTGCCTCTGCGGGACTGGTGAGCAGAACTGTGTACAGGATGAACAGAACCCTGCAGTAGGCGGCCTTTCAGACTGCCTCGTCCCACTCAGAAACATGTATGTAAAGAAGAGGTATGTCTTTCTGTGGGTTGATAACTCTGTATCACTGAGGAATATGCTATTTTATGCATGTGCAATAGTGTGTTGACCCACTCACTTATTGGAGAATATTTTAGATTATAAAGGAAGCTGTTATAAAGTTTGTATAGAAGATTTTGTGTGGGTATGTTTTAAAGTAAGTTGGGCAAATATTCAGGAATGCAGTTGATGGGTTGTGTTCAGGCTGTGCTTATCTTCACAAGAAACTACCAAAACATCTGCTAAAGAGGTCGTGTATTTTTGCTTTTCTGAGAGCACTGAATGAGAGTTCCTGTTGCTTTATGTTCCTGTCAGTGTTTGGTATGTTGGTTTTTTGTCTGTTAACCATTCTTCCAAGAGTGCAGTAATATTTCACTGCTGCCTTAAAATAGTTTTTAGGTGATGAGTTAAATCAGATAACATTTTGTAATAGTTGATTAATGGATTTATATTAGCTGACACATCTGGGTAGCACTTCATTGTTTTTAAAATCATTTAACTGAATTAAAAATACTGTGTTTTGAAGATCCACTTATATATCTCTTATACTTAAAACAATATAAGCACTCATGTTAACAACAGTAGGGAAAAGAATGCAACTCTTCTATGTAACTGTGTTTAGATCATTTGCTTCCTGCAGAGTGCAGTATTAATGCACAGATTGATTATTGATTCTCATAGCTTTCTCATATCTTGACAGATCAGTTTATTTATTAAAAATCTGAAATCACTATTGTCTTTTGTTTCTATGTTAAAAAGGTTTTTTGTTTTTCTTTTTTTTTTTTTTTTTTGTAGGACCAAACTCATGGAGAAGAAGCCAAGATTATCCTCAAAAGGAAAAATCCTATAGAAGTAAAATTTCAGTTATCAGGAAACAGTAGAATGTGGGAGAAAGGAAGAGCCTGGGGACTGCCATACGGACTCCCTTAGAACAGATGCCTTCATCCAGCAGTGTTTATGAAGCCTTCCTGCACAGTAGGAGAGAGCAGCCGGGGTGCTGGACAAGAAGGTCCTGGCTCTTAGGCGCTTCTGAGCGAGGAAATGCATTTGGCCGTGAGTGTGTGGGTAGCTGCTGCAACATTCTTCTGTGGTCATGTCACTCGCGCTTGTGGTCTGAAATTATTTGAATGAAATACTTGAAATTTTATTTCACCATTTGCTACTTGTTCTTTGACTGCTTTTTGCCCTTGCCACATAGTGGAAGGATCTGCCCTAGAAATCGCCATACATAGTCCTGAGTGTAGCCGCTGCCTGCACATCAGTACCAGGCAGCTGGTCGGGGCCTACACAGCGCCTAGGGAACATGTTTCTGGGATGAATGAAGGAGCTTTCACTGCTCTCAGACAGATCATATTATCAGCAAGGCTTCTAATCTGCCTGTCTGCAGAAGTAATGTCCATGCATAGAAACCTCAAAGGGGACTCACATAATTTGCGTAGCTCTCACGTTGGCCCATCAGACACCTTGAGGCCTGCACGTGGGCTGCAGTTGGAGAGCTGCCACTGCACCTTCCTAGGACATTCATTACCAACACCCATCCATCAGACATATGCCCTGCGTTTCCACCTTGGTCTTCTGTTTATGGTTGGAGTGTGCCAAACAGGCAGAATAAATGAAAACTCACTCTGCAGGAACCATGCACGGCATCTCTCCTAAGGGACCAAAGTGCCTCTCCCAAGTGTGGCAGCTATGCCTGGGGAATCCAGGGAATCTGCCGCACAGCAGTGCCCTGCAGCCCAGAGCAGAATGGAGCGGAAGTGTGGGAGATGAGCCCTGTGTGCAGACGGCCCCACTTCTCTGACTTTGCTGGAGTGGGGTAGGTTCAAGGCGCAGACTGGGAGGCCCTGGGGTAACTGGGACTTGTGGAACAGCTCTCTCAGGGTCCCCTGCACAGAACACTGGCTGTGTGGAACAGGTGAACTGGTTCCGCAGCAGCATCTAAATAAGAGAAATCCTTCCTGATGGCTCCCCAGTTCACCAGTGGCTCTAAAGCCCAAGAGGGCAGCCTGGTGGAAGGGTGAGTTTGGCTACACAGAAGTGTTGAGGTGATTCAGAGGGCGCCTGCTGACAGAGCAGGGGTGGCTTGACCTTCTCTGTGGGCCACGTAGGCAGCATTGTGCAGGCTGTTATTTCGGGTGCTGGACAGCCTGCCTGCCCCAAAATATCTCTCCCTGCCATCTTGCCAGCTTCTGTAATTCCCACCAAAAGAACTGTCCTCCAGTCGAAGCCCTGTGTCTCCAGAAGACCCAGGTCACAGTGCAGCCACCCACTGATAACACCATCTTTTAACCCATAACTGCCCGCCCGCCATCCTGGAGCTGGCCGCGGGGAGCACTGCCATCTGCCATAAGGCAGGCCAAGGCTCTGCTTAAGCTTTCAACGGCCTCTTCACGTGAGTGGGGGAGGGTGCCACAAGCCCAGCACAGGAGAATCCTGGCTCCCAGGAGAGACCTATGGTGGAGATGTCTCCACTCTGTCCTCCTAGGGCTCAGGAGATCAGACTTGGGCAGGTAAGGACAACATAGGAACACAAAAGGAACAAAAGAAATGTGCCTAAATTCATGGGTTAAGGCTCCGGTGTGGAATTGGGAATGCTTGGCCACACTCTTATCCTGCCTACTGTAAAGGAAGGAGGCACTGGTCCCCTCCAAATATCTGCCTGGCCCGTGAAGGTGTCTGGGGGTTTCATGGAAATTACTCCTTTGGGTAGAGGAGGCACCTGTGAAAGATAAACCTGTTAAGAGAAACTTCGAGGCATTTTTTCCAGATTTAAGAGCATTCATGAGACTTGGTCCAGCTCACAGATAACCTGAGGGAGCCTGGGGCCTGGCCTGCTACAGCTGTGTAGAAAACATTTTTCTCCTAGAGCCACAACTTCTGTCGGTCCCCCAAAAAACCTCTTCTGGGGCCGACTAGCCTCCTACCAAGTGTGGCTATAGGGTCACATGTTCCTTTTCACAACTGTTTTCTCAGGATAGTATTTGTGGGTTTCTCTTCTGGCTTGCTTGGCTTATGTTCTTTCCTGGTCTGGGTTTCTTTCTCCATTCACTGGGCGTAGAAGGGGTAGAAAATGGGCCCACTGCTTCCGTTCCTTCTCGTCCACTGCCCTGCCTGGAGCCAGGCCCCAGCTGCACACGGACCTCTTCCCAGGACAGAGCTTCCGTGGGGTGCTGCACCACGCCGCACAGCCATTCCTGGGGGTGAACAGCAGCTCTGTAGCAGGGCTTTCTGTGGACCTGCCCAGAGGGGAGCAGAGAGCAGGCTGCCCACTGAACACACACGAGCTAGACAAGGAGAGAATGAAGAGCACAGAGACTCTGAACTCGGGGGCAAGGCAGCAAGAAAGCAAGCTGAACCAGACACAAAAAGAAAGCAGACCATTGGAGTCCAGAGCTCAATAGCTGTGCTCCCTGAAGAAGTTAGCCAACATCTCTGAGCCTTAATTTCCTTCACTAAATGATAGAGTTGATGACAGTGTGTACCTCACAAGGTATAATGAAAATCAAGTGCAGTGTTTTCTATGGCATGGTCAGTGCTGCGGTCCTGGTCCACAGTATGCACTTGAAGATGTTGGTTATGGTATTCAAAGAAAAGCGCCAACAGAGAGTCAGAGACGTGGTAGTCAAGCAAAGCAGGGAGTGTCTTAAATGAAGTAGCTGAAGGACCCAATAGCAAATAGTGTGACTTAATCGAAGGGTCGTCATCAGAAAGGGGCAGAAAGGAAAGCCATATCAAGTCAGGTGGACAGCTGGAGAGGTGGAAATGGTAGGGAGGGAGGGCCCAACAGGGAGAGGGAGAGAGAAAGAATGGGAACAAGAGGAGAGAAAAATAAGGAAGGCTCATGTGACTGGGTGCTGGCAGGTCTGAAGGTGCTGGGGACTCGGGAGGACTGTGGCTGCAGCCAGGTTTCGAAGGTAGAAGTCCTCCTGGTGGCAGCCAGGCACATGCATCAGGCTATGGCCACTGGTGATGGAAGATGACCTACACAAAGCTCAATGCTTTAATTGTCATGTCATCTAAAAATAATTTCACTGAAACATAGAGTAACACTGGAATAAATGAAGAGCCTGGGCCTTGGCAAGTGGACACATACAACTAACACCTGAAAATGCTTGTTTCTAGTCCTTTTCATCGGCTCTTTGTGCTCAGGAAGAAATAAAGTCACTTTCCACCATGGGGGTGGCCACCCTTCCTGGGGACCCCAGGCATTCCTCAGGAAACCAGGACTATGCGACTGCGACTTAAATCCCCAGTGCTTAGGACACCAAGGATATTCGCTATTCAGAAACCTGACGGGAATGGAGTAAAAGTGAGAGTGCAGAAAAACAAGGCAGAAGTCGAATCCAGAATGAATGAAATGAAGTCCACTTCGAAGCTTGCTCTTTCCTTTAACACCTTTACCCCGGAGCTTGGATCATCTCTGTGCAGCCACCGTTGACCGCCCAGCCCTCGTGGTTGTGCCTTTGTGGATCTTCCCAGGGCCAGTTCCGAGCATCAGATCTGGCACAGGGCCCCGGGGTCTGGGTGGCACTGTGAGCCCTGTTGGTCTTCACCATGTAGACTGGGCCTGATTAAAGACTGGGCTTGACGGGGACGAGCTTTTATCGTGTTATGAGGCCATGGAGTCATTTAGTTTCTGCCTGACTTAGTAAACGTGACAATGTTACTAGCAGCTTGAGCCAGATTTGATTTATGGGGGAAATTAAATTCTATACTTCCATAATGATGTCAGTACTTCCTGGGTCTTAAAACAAAACAAAACAACAAAAGGAGGCAGAACAGCAACTGCAAGCTTAACCAGTTAATCCGTAAGTCGTCCCGGCCAGTTGCTCTTAGATATCATGCAGGGCTCATTCTCTTTTGGTGAACATAACCCTCCTCTTAAATTCACAGTGTGGTTAAGCCATTAAAATAAAATAAAATGCTAAGTACTCTCTTAAAGTACTTTTGGGAAATCTTGTGATTTGTATTTTTGAGGATCTGTTAATGACAGGATTACAACTAAAGCCAGTCTTCTTCTCCAGAGAATGTAACAAGATTTTTAAATAAGAAGATAAATGTTTCAGGCACAATTGTTACTGCTGTTACCCTGCAAGTCTGATTAGTCTGTTTGGTGGTATTGAGGATTCAGTGTTAGCCATGAAAAGCTCAGTGCATAGGTGATAATGTTGCTTATCCTGTGAAATCATTTCTGCCAATCTCTCACTGATATGAGTACAGCTTTTTTTTTTTATGTTAGGAAAAGCCAGCTGTGAAAAAGCCATAATGCAATAAAATCAAAGAAAATTGTACAACACCAACATTCATCTCCCCAGGGGAGGGACCCAGGTTGTCCATTTGAGTGATCAGCTCAACCTGCCCGGTTGCGGGGGTGCTTACGAGAGACAGGCCCAACATCTGAGCTTCCAGTTCTCCAGCAAATCCAGTACAATGGGACTCGGGGCAAGGAACCTGCGCAGATACCGATTATATCTCTGTGTGCATGTAGAATGTGGCTCCAGCACTGAGTGTGGGTTGTTTAGCTTTTAAAATTGAAATGAGTAGCCGTGTGGCTCCAGGGCTGGTTGGACATCTGAGAGACGGAGGTAGCCTGACTATTACCTAGCATGAGCCGTACTGCTGAAGAGCGGTGACGTCGGTGACGGAAGGTCTCTGTGTGAAGTAGTGATGTGGGAGAAGTTTGGACCAGGGCAAAAATGAAGGTGAACACACCCCTTGGGGCTGAGTGTACGACCTGGCTGCTGGTGCACAGCTGAGCCGCTGCCTGGGTTCTTTGGCTGCCTGCTATTTCTGTCCTGTGATGAAGGTTTCTGGAACCCAGACGGCCTTCCAGCCTGCCAGGGAGTGAGCTGGGTTGCTCAATGTCAGGGACCCCAGGCATTCCTCAGGAAACCAGGATTATGAGACCGCAATTTAAATTCCCAGTGCTTAGGAAGCCAAGGACATTCACTATTAAGAAACCTGATGGGAACAGAGTAAATGTGAGTGTGTAGGAACACAAGGCAGAAGTCGAATCCAGAATGAATGAAATGAAGTATTTGCTTAGATTTTAGTTGCATGTGAGGAAATCTACTCCTGATTGGATGATCTGACCCAGATT